GCGTCACTCTCACTCCTTATTTGTTAACGTTTTGGTGTGTATATAACTTTCCCTCGATTCCATTGGCTCTAGCGGTTATAAAGAGATTTCATTCATCAAAATCGACCAAGGGGGGCCAGAGATAGGTCAAATCCACCCAAATGACCCCAGAAGGGTTTTTGGCAAAATCTCTCTAAAAAGGTCAAATTTCACTTGTTTTGCATCAATCTTGATACAGGGTACTTATTATATGTTGTACTTTGGATTCCTAAAGCTTTTAGTCTACTAACCCATCATCTAGGGGTAATTTTCACTATAAGTAAAAAAGAATTTTTGGACGGACACTATAATTTACAGTTTTTTACTATGTAAAATCTGAATTTTCTTGAAAATAAAAAACTTCTATATTGATTCTGACTTTTCTACATCCAACTCACAGGTTTATCATTACTTTGAGAATAAAGATTATTAATTTAACCCTTTTAGAAGGGAAGATATGGTCATTTGTTCTGGGAATGTCATTTTCGAGCCTGAGACCTGAAAAACAGGCGCAGGGCTTAAGAGGTTAAAGAAGGCTTCATATCCATATTACTTATAATTAGCCATGCACAGGTAATCCAGACTTTACCGCAATAGATTCAAGATTCAAGATATGTTATTGTCAGTGTCAGGGAATAATTTCGCCCTACATGTCCTCCTTCACCCTCTGATGCAGCTGACCAACCTTGAGCAGCCACTATCTCCCTTAAGGAGGGGCTGCCCTAGCAAGTTGTTGTTGTTACCAGTTTGTGACCGGGCAACTCTCAGTTAGAGATAGTTATTGTTGTGGGACACCTGGAACACATCCTTCTCGGGGTGTAGATGACCCCGAGCCATAAGCGACAACAAATGTGATTCAGTGTCCTCAGCTGTTTAGTCTATCTATTGAAGAATGTTGATTATTACACTCTGAACTAGTTAAAACCTGGAGCTACAGGAGGGGTCTTCAGAATTGATTGTGGCATCTCAACCGTGTGGTCAGATCGTGGCTCTTTGACATGTCGTGTGAATTCTCCGGCCGAAGCTCCAAATAAACCGTCAGTGTTTGCCATCAAAGCTCCAGCTCTCCTCGTGTCTCTCTGAGTCCTGACTCCATCAAAGCTCCAGCTCTCCTCGTGTCTCTCTGAGTCCTGACTCCATCAAAGCTCCAGCTCTCCTCGTGTCTCTCTGAGTCCTGTCTCCATCAAAGCTCCAGCTCTCCTCGTGTCTCTCTGAGTCCTGATTCCATCAAAGCTCCAGCTCTCCTCGTGTCTCTCTGAGTCCTGACTCCATCAAAGCTCCAGCTCTCCTCGTGTCTCTCTGAGTCCTGACTCCATCAAAGCTCCAGCTCTCCTCGTGTCTCTCTGAGTCCTGACTCCATCAAAGCTCCAGCTCTCCTCGTGTCTCTCTGAGTCCTGACTCCATCAAAGCTCCAGCTCTCCTCGTGTCTCTCTGAGTCCTGACTCCATCAAAGCTCCAGCTCTCCTCGTGTCTCTCTTACCCCTTTCACACCGGCGCTTTTCCAGCTCCTGCTGGGAGCTAGAGCCTGAAAAGCGCCGGTTTTTCCTGTTCACACCGCAGCGGCGGCGCGTCATAGCTCCGGAATGCGGTTCACTTCCAGCTCCAAAAAATTGTCGGTCCAGAGGCAAGAGCTTCGGAGCTATGACGCGGCGTCGCTTACGTCTCTTACGTCGAGGCGTGCAGGAAACCTTACTTTGACCATCCGTTCGCTGTTATTGATCATTGTGGAGATACATGGGCTATACAGGTTGTCATGTCCGACTATCAGAAGTAGAATCATAATGAAAAATACGCCGGTAAAATGTGCCTGTAGAAAACGGCTTAGCAAGTAGTCAGTTTAGCTTCGGTTGCTATGCTAACATCACCCATGTTATACCAGAGAAACTTTCATAACAGCGTGGTGATGCCAAACAGCGTCAATTCAGACTGACACACATTCACTTAACGGGAACTGGGGATATGTATCAGCTGCTTGTGTGACAGTCAGACAGTGAATACTTTAGAGCCGTGTGAGCTAACCCGGAGCTAACGGGACAATAAACTCCCGTGGAAGTGCAGCCACTGCAGCGGTCGGTAAATGCCGCTGAAACACATTAATAAACAATGAACCACGGCACTCTGGAGAAAAGTATAAGGTTGGAGAAGTCGTTATTTAATTTAATCTGGCTTCGTATGATTAAAAGCAACACGACCCGATGCAGTCCCGGCCCGTTGTTGTTGTGGGAGAAAATCAGCGACGTAAACTGTGACGTCATGACGCAGCAGCGGCAGCTCTGGGCAGTGTGAACAGAGCGGGAGCTGAAAAGGGAAACGGGAGCTGAACCAGAAAAGCTCTCGCGAGGAGCTAGAAAGTGAAAAGCGCCGGTGTGAAAGCCGCATCTGAGTCCTGACTCCATCAAAGCTCCAGCTCTCCTCGTGTCTCTCTGAGTCCTGACTCCATCAAAGCTCCAGCTCTCCTCGTGTCTCTCTGAGTCCTGACTCCATCAAAGCTCCAGCTCTCCTCGTGTCTCTTTGAGTCCTGACTCCATCAGAGCTCCAGCTCTCCTCGTGTCTCTCTGAGTCCTGACTCCATCAAAGCTCCAGCTCTCCTCGTGTCTCTTTGAGTCCTGACTCCATCAAAGATCCAGCTCTCCTCGTGTCTCTCTGAGTCCTGACTCCATCAAAGCTTCAGCTCTCCTCGTGTCTCTTTGAGTCCTGACTCCATCAAAGCTCCAGCTCTCCTCGTGTCTCTCTCTGAGTCCTGACTCCATCAAAGCTCCAGCTCTCCTCGTGTCTCTCTGAGTCCTGACTCCATCAAAGCTCCAGCTCTCCTCGTGTCTCTCTGAGTCCTGACTCCATCAAAGCTCCAGCTCTCCTCGTGTCTCTCTGAGTCCTGACTCCATCAAAGCTCCAGCTCTCCTCGTGTCTCTCTGAGTCCTGACTCCATCAAAGCTCCAGCTCTCCTCGTGTCTCTCTGAGTCCTGACTCCATCAAAGCTCCAGCTCTCCTCGTGTCTCTCTGAGTCCTGACTCCATCAAAGCTCCAGCTCTCCTCGTGTCTCTTTGAGTCCTGACTCCATCAAAGCTCCAGCTCTCCTCGTGTCTCTCTGAGTCCTGACTCCATCAAAGCTCCAGCTCTCCTCGTGTCTCTCTGAGTCCTGACTCCATCAAAGCTCCAGCTCTCCTCGTGTCTCTCTGAGTCCTAACTCCAATTGCTTCAGAAGTTTCCCCCACAATTGATACAGTATAACAGGAAGTTTAACTGTACAATGAAAATCTTACTATCATCTCTCCAAAACCGAAATGTGAAGGAACTATACAAACAAACATATAAGATAAAAACTAGCGTAAGAAAACGTCTAAATGAATAATCTTTTTTCTCAAAGCAATGATAAACCTGTGAGTTGGATGTAGAAAAGTCAGAATCAATATAGATTTTTTTATTTTAAAGTAAATTCAGATTGAACATATTAAAAAAATGTAAATGATAGTGTCCGTCCAAAAAAAACCATTACTTATAGTGAAGACCACCCTTGAATGATGGGATAGTAGACTAAAAGCTTTAGGAATCCAAACTATAACATATAATAAGTACCCTGTATCAAGATTGATGCAAAACATGTGACATTTGACCTTTTTAGAGAGATTTAGTTAAAAAAAAACACTTCTGGGGTCATTTGGGTGGATTTTCCATATCTCTGGAACCCATTGGTCGATTTTAATGATTGACATCTCTTTGTAACCGTTAGAGCCAATAGAATCGAGGGGAAGTTCCTCAATCCAGGTTAATGCCTTTTTAATTTAATGTTTAGATAAAAAATGAGGGAACACGTTAATCTAGTGGATTCACACATTGGTTGGTCAAGTTTAATTCATAAGAGTCTCCAACAAACATGAATTCATTCATCAGAGTTGCATTATAAGAAACTGCAGAGTGTGGATATCGATTGCGTGGCCTTGGCTCGGATCTGACATACCTGCTCTGCCCTGATCTACTACTAGCTGTTAACTAGCTAGCAACCATATCGCTTTTGAGAAGTGTCCAGTGTTCCACATCTAACTGTTTGTGTTCGTATTGAGAGCCCCATCCAGGTGCTTATAGTGCATTGTGCCATACTTGACATGGGGAAGCACTGACAACCAGCACCTCATTCTGATTCTTACCACCCATGGTATGTCTGGAAGGCCTGCCAGCTTCACAATCAGCTTCATTGGCTTGATTGGGTTGAAATTGAACTGTAATCCAGAAATATGTCAACCAGTTTTCTGCTATTTCCGGTTCAGGTGTAGAGTGAAGTGCCAGGGCCAGAATGACATCCACTCATCTGTAGGGGGTTCACCGTATCTAGAACCACAGCGTTAATGGATCGGAGAACCATTTTGTGCTAATGTCGCCCATTGACATTCGCATGAACGTACAGTAAAGGTGTTGCCGGCATCATTTTACACAACGTCCCAACTTCATTGAATTGGGTTTGTATACAGTATATAAATGAATTTATGTATGGAACTATTCATTTCTCTGTATTTCTTTGGAGCATATGGCTGGTATTTCACATTTCACCTTTAAATAAGGTTGTTTTCATTTCTGGAAGCATGTTATGTAAGAAGTCGGCAGACAAGACTATCAATCAGTGTCAGGGTGTGTCTCTGCATTCAGGTACAAGGGACATTTAGTTTTTCTGTTGATCACATCAGGAAGGTGTTTTCTTGACAGCTTTATCACAGACACATTATCTTTATGGCAGCATTGTTTTTTACTGTGAGAACATCTTGCTAGAAAGCCTTATAGTTTGGGGTTGGCTGACCAGGCCTTGATATTAGCACACAATGCATTTGAGAAGGAAGTGTATAAAACAGTCTGTGCCAGCAGCAGAAGGGAAAGACCCATATTTGCTTTGTTGACTTCCTCCTTCCTCGTTCTTGCCAAGGCCTGTCACAATAAGAACTGGTTGGACAGGTGTGTTCAGGTGTGAGAACAGGACGTCAGGTGAGGAGAGTATCTGACAGTATAAGTCACCTCACAACATCACATTTCATCAGACTTGAAGCTCCTGCTGGAAGTCAGAAGACTCTCACACAACTCTGCTGATCTACACAACTTCACCAGGTGAGGACTAACAGACAAACACGGATTTATTATAAAAACTTTACTTTTCTGTGTAAAACTACAGCTGCTGGATTAGTGTCTGCAGGGAAATACTGCATTACTAAGCAAAGTTGACAGTCATACTCCAGTGTTAATTTCGTCAACGAAAACTATGACGAAAAATGTTCGTCAACGACCTTTTTTACATGACTAAGACGAGACGATGACGAGCTAAAAATAGATTCTTGATAACGAAAATTTGACGAAATGTATATTTAGTTTTCGTTGACGAGACGAGACGGGACTAAGGTGTTAATGGTGGACTATCGGACATTAAAAATGCAGGGTATTTCCCCCCAATTGCCCGTCTTGTCTGTCAAAATGCATCTTACATTTCTAACTTGCAATATCATTATTTCCGCTCTCTTCACTCCAGAAGAGCGATCTCCTCTCTGTGTGCAGGGGGCGGGGCCTAACAGACACGCTGCAGTGGCACACAGATCTGCCGGGGACGGAGCGTTCAGAGAGTATAGAGACACTCGACAAGTCTCGATGTGGACAAAGCTCGTTTGCCATGTTTTCGCGTTGACACGAGTAGAGTAGTCTGTCCAAACAGCCGGCCAAAAGGCGTCATATTCAGTCGGAGAAATGCACAATTTTCGACTTCCTTAACTCGTAGCTCTGTTGCCCCAATTACGAGTAACGTTATCACATCAGGTGTGCAGAGGTGGGAGAAGTACTAAGATCTTGTAGCTAAGTAAAAAAATACCATAGTGTAGAAAGAGTTCCTCAAGTCAAAGTATGATCATCAAAATATATTTAAAGTAGCGACAGTAAAAGTAGTCATTGTGCAGATTGGTCCATTTCAGAATAATATATATGATATGTTTTATAATGATTGATCATGAAAGTGTTCTCAAAGCTGGTAAAGGTGCAGCTAGTTTGAATGACTTTGTATACTGCAGGGTAGTTTGTGAATTTACTCCAGGTGGAACTAAAGTCTGAGTTAACACTTGATTATATTTCACATCATTCATCCACATCTGTAAAGTAACTAAAGGTATTAAATACATGTAGTGGAGTAGAAGTACACCATTTAACTATGAACTGTAGTGGAGTAGAAGTACACAGTAGCATAACATTTAAATACTCCAGTAAAGTACAAGTACCTCAACATTTTACTCAAGTACAGTACAATATTTAAAAATAATTATATATATTTCATTTATTTCACATTTAAATAAAGCAATTAATTCGGTTAACAATTTGTTAGTTTTTTCCTTTAAAAAAATAACAAAAAGTAAATACAAGAATGCCGTTAAAGTACCGGATCGATAAGCAGTATTGATAAGACTAGTAGTACCGTAGAAAACCTTAACGATACCCATCCCTAGATATTACACAAGTAAAGTGTTAAGAGAGTGAAATGTTGCTTTACGAATTTCAACACTTGATGCTGTCACCTTGATTACAATGTCAGATACCTGTATTTGCCTAACTGAATTGGTTTAAAGAGAGAAAACATTTTGACTAAAAGTTGACTAAAATGTAATTTTTCATTGACTAAAAGTAGACTAAAACGTTTTGAGTTTTCGTCGACTAAAACTCGACTAAAACGTTTTGAGTTTTCGTCGACTAAAACTAGACTAAAACTATGAAGGATAGAAATGACTAAAATGTGACTAAAACTAATAACCATTTTCGTCTAAAGACTAAGACTAAGACTAAATCAAAAACAGCTGCCAAAATGAACACTGTCATACTCCAAGTGTTATTAACTCTCAACACTCCTACTCCTTAACAGACGTCTAAATCAGTTTCTGAAGTCTGTTTTGTTTCTTCTCAACAGGTTGGAGAAATGGCCACAGAAGAAATGAACGTTGCTGCTCTGGGACGACCTTTCACCCTAGGGATGCTCTATGATTCTCGGAGTGACAAACTGGTGCCAGGTAAGACTTCACAAAGTCACAAAATGTTCATCATAGTCACCGTACCGGGCGGATAAACGCGTCATTTGCAGGAAACAACGTCTAAGGAATGTTAATATTTAATAAACTATGAATGTTTTATATCCATGTAACGGGAAGAAACTCAGCTAACTGATCTTTTTTATTTATTTTTTTCAAAAAAAAAACACAATGCTAACACTCAGCCTCTGAATTAGCCACGAGCGAAAAAATACTAACCTATCACTGCACCTAAACTCACTCATAACTCCCTTATTACTTATCCTAGATGCACATCCAACATATCGATTATGATCGTAAGGAGACACAGAATCGATGGGTGCCCACCTCAACACTCCATGATAAAAACTTTCGAGTCTATAAACGAAAACGTACATCAAAACATGTGGCGCTAGGTAGCTACAAACGCTAACATGGCTTACCTGTGTCGTAGTCTGGTCAAAACTGGTCTTCAATGGCATTAAAACGATAAAAAACGATGCTGTAGTTAATCCATAGGTTAATCCAATGTGTCTGTGTCCTCTTTGAAATGATTTCTGATAATCCATAAGCAATACAACTGCTTTTTCGTTTCCAGATGTCAGAGCGAGAGATCGCTTCACTCTGATGCAAACCTGCATGCGCGAAGCCCCCACCTCTTTGTTTCACAATGAGTGTGTGTGGGGGACTCCCCCTTCGATTCTATTGGCTCTAACGGTCAGAAAGAGGTGTCAACCATCAAAATCGAACAAGGGGGGCCAGAGATATGGAAAATCCGCCTTCATTTTAAATGAACTTGTTGTCGGAGCTCCATCCGTTAGTGCGCCGCGGAGCGGAGTTTACTTTCTTAGAGGAAGAAATACGATCATTTTCAAGTCAATAAAATCATTTAAATTAATATTGGTAGTCAAGTCCTTAGTGTGTTAGTATGTGGGCGTGTAATAAGCGGGATAATGTACAGCGAGGCGGGCATTATTCAGAGTGATCAGGGAGCCCGACGCAAAGCAGAGGGATCTTGTTCAGCGGGTCGGGTGTTGTTTTTTTTACTAATGACCGCCATGACCGCCACATTATACTTTACTTCACCTTAAGTCTCTGCCTTTAACTATTGCCTGCCCAGGGACAACAATGCCTTTCTGGCTCTCTGAGAATAAAGTCAGAATTCTCAGGAAAAGTCAAAATTGTGATATCAAATCCTGAATTCAGAATTTACAGAATGCTAGAGTACAGAAGACCATTTTTTATTTGGGGTCTTTTTTTTGTTCCTGTGGTCAAAGCCAGCATTAAAAAAAAAAGTCACAATTGGCAGATTTTCAGAAAAAAAGTTAAATTAAATAAAAAGAATGTACAATTATATTTGTTCTCAGAAAGTCTGTAATCTCAGAACTGAGACCACTTTAGGTTGGATCTCCTCTGTACGCACGCACGCACGCACGCACACACACACACACACACACACACACACACACACACACACTTTTCTTATGGAAACTCCTGGCAGGATATGAAGCCTGCAAAACTTTGAAATTATACGTTTTATGATCATTTATATGAACAAAGGTTTTGCCCTTGATCTGAAAACTGTTTGCTTTCCAATGTATTTAGGTCTCAGATTGTGGAATGAGGAAACTTTAAAAGTAAAAACAACTGAAACCTCTCAGCACAGCAGTTATTTGGGAATTTCTGCATCTGACTCCATTGAATCCAAGTCGAACATGATGGATATTGAAGCTTCTCTGAAGGCCAGTTTCATGGGTGGACTGATAAAAGTTGGAGGATCGGCCAAATATCTGAATGATCAGAAGAAATTCAAGAATCAGAGCAGAGTGACCTTTCAGTACAAAGCTACCACCAAGTTCAAGGAGTTGTCAATTGATCAAGTGACCCTGGACACCAAACAGATGGAGGTTATTAAGGAGGGCTTGGCCACACATGTAGTCACAGGCATCCTGTATGGGGCAAATGCTTTCTTTGTGTTTGACAGTGAGAAGTTAGACGCCAGCCAGGTTCGGAAGATAGAGGGCAGCATGCAAGCTGTGATAAAGAAGATTCCTTCTTTAAATATTAAGGGGAAGGTTGACATCAAGCTGACGGCTGCAGAGAAAGCCCTGACTGAGACATTCTCCTGCAAATTCTACGGAGACTTCATTCTCAAAAGCAACCCAGCTACATTTAAAGATGCAGTGCAGACCTATGTAGAACTTCCACAGCTACTGGGAACAAATGGAGAGAATTCGGTCCCAGTGGCGGTCTGGCTGATGCCGCTGAAGAGTTTTGATCCCAAAGCTGCTGAGCTGATGACAGGGATCAGCATCGGACTAGTTATCAAGGCGCAGGATGCTCTGGAAGATTTAAAGGAAACACAAAGGAGATGCAACGATTCTCTGGAAGACAAAGTGGTAGAGAGTTTCCCCGTGCTTCACAAACAGTTGAGCACTTTCCTTAAACTGTGTGGTTATTATGAATCCCGCCTCCAACAGACCATGGCAGAGAAAATTCCCTCCATCCGAGCAGGAAAGGAAGATGAGAGCTCACTGGAAGAAGTCTTTAAAGACAGGAACAAGTCACCATTCAGCCATGAAAAACTAACCAAGTGGCTGGATCACAAAGAGAGAGAAATCAACGTCATCGGGTCCTGTGTGGATATCATGAAGGGTGTTAAGATCGTCCCAAACCAGTCTGAACTGGACAGAGAGGTTCTTGGAAACTACGAAGGTCTGTGCTTTGTTTTCACCTCCATGGAGAGTGCTGACCCCTGCCTTGAAGCGATGGATCAATACCTAAACTCAGTAGAATGCACGAGCACTGAAGAGGAGCCATGGTACTACTCAGACGACGTCTTAATAAAGATGAGACAAAAAGTCGAAGATTTCATGACCGGTGTGAAAACAATCGTGAATACTTGTTTCCTCATAGCAGCCATTGAAAATAAGAAATTCAAAGGAGCAACCCTCTACTTCTACGTGGACGGCATTCTGAACACTGAAGACTACAAATCACCATTCATGGAGGTGAAGACTGAAGACTTAAAATCCCTCAGTGAGGTGAAGAAGCATACCGGAAAGTAGAGATCTAAACTGGTGTAAGTCATTCTTCATGCATTTTGAGTAAAATATGTTCATATATCTTTTCTCTAGAAACCCTCAGAATGACTAATTAGATGCCTGTGATTTCACACTGGAAGGGAACACTGCAGGCAACTTTCTTGGGGTCCATATAGTTTTCTTTCGGCTGTTAATCATTTTCTAAAGAGACATTATTTAGATTTTTCTGTTATGACATTCAGACCTCTTGTCGCTGTGATGGATGGAGACATTATGGGATGTATGATCAGAAATCATCTGTGATGGATGACCAGGTCCAGGAAATGAAGAAGGTAGAGGTCTGGAGGTGAACATGTTATTGAGGTGCAGCTCCAAAATGTGTGCTAGAAAAACACTTCTACTAAAAACTACAAACACTAGATTGACATTTTTGAACATTGGAAATCAGTTCCTCTTGAACTCAGCAACTCTTGCAGAAGACTGAAGAACCCCTGATACTAACTAGTAGTGGGGCAAACCTAGACGGAGCAGATATAATATATATCTGAGCAAAACGCAGTTTATTATTATGAGTGTGTGGTGTTATAACTTGTGAAACTTTAAATAAAACTACCTGTTCACATTTGTGAGAGGAAACTAAAGTTCATGAAGCCCTTCTGATTATTACTGAATAAACAGATGGCAATGTAACCTGTTCCCCCGTAGCTTGAGTCCTGAGTCCAGATTGATTCCAGCGTCCGGTTCCTTGGTTGAGGATCGATCCCTGACGGAGTTCTGCAGTCTCCAGAGATAACAGCGGGTAAATCGCACCTAGTCAACTCCGTTGCAGAATTCTGTGTCATATTGGAGGTCGCCATGATCGATTGATCTGAAATACGGCAGCAGTGCTATACGGGTATTGAATCCCAAGGTTTCAGAGGTGTTCATTAAGGTCTGTGACTAAAGTCTAAAGGGATAAACTAACAGGAAAAGTTAAATGATGTAAAACTGATGAATGGAGGTAGTATAGAAAAAAGGGAGTTTATCGGTACCTCGTGGTGGTGTGTGAGGTCACATCTTTTATGCCCAGACTGAGTAAAAACCATATCAATTAACAGTACTTTCAAATTCTAGCGCACTCAAGCTGGTTTCTCCATTCTTACCTACCCTACCTTTAAGGGGTTGGTTATTTTATAAAAAACAGCAATGTAGCATTGAAAAAACTGTATTATTTATTTCTCTTTGTTTAATTAAAAAAACAATAATTTTTTGTTGCATTGAAAATATTTTTCCTTTATTGTTTTAATTAAAAAACTGTTATTTATCTTTATTATATATCTTTATTGTTGTTTGTTGCATTGAAATCACTTTTTTTAAGCCCAAAAATAATGTTTTTTCTTTAATTTTGCTTAAAAAAACATGATTTGTTCCTACTTTGTTATGAAAAATAAATAAAAGGTCATTTGAAATGTTTTCAAATCTGTGTATATTAGTTGTTCAGTACATCATTATATCATATTTTAAAAGTCCATGTGTAGTAAAACGTGGGAAACTTGCCTGCAAAATGTACTTCATATCTAGTATTGTTCTTTGTTGCATAAAAAAACAGTAACATTTCTGTTTTTGTTGCTTTAAAAACACTTTTTTAAGCCCAAAAATACAGATTTTTCAAAATTTTGCTTAAAAAAACACGATTTCTTAATGACTTTGTTACGAAAAGAAAATTACATTTAATTATGGAAATCATCATTTAAATCCAGTTTTCAAATCCATGTATATTAGACGTGCATCAGAACATCATCATATTATATTTAAAAATGCATGTGTGTATTAGGTTGGTTGAAAGCAATAATATTAAGTTCAAATCAAATATATTTGATTTGAACTTAATATTATTGCTTTCAACCAACCTAATATAGTTATGTGAAATATGTTGACATGATACATTTAATTAAAGTCAACGGTTCAACTCTTTCAGTGTAGAGCAAAAGTATACAGTTGCATAAAACAGACATACTCACATTGACAAAATAGCACTAAAGTAAGTGTGGGGGAAACTTCTGTAGCAATGGAGGAGTCTCTCTTTCACTCAGAAACCTGTTATCTTAGCTCCTTTTTGTTCCTCTGAAGGCTCTTTACACGTCTCAGATTGCTGCTTTAAAAGTGAGTCACTCAAACACTTTGCAGCGTGCAGAAATGAGAGGGACACTTTCACATTAAGTCCCTTCCTTTGTCCCCGGAGTCACTTCTCTGCACTCATGTAGAAAAGGAAATAAAAAGGAACATGCACGTAACATGTCATTTACACCTCTATTGTTCACAGGGAGTCTGGAATATCAGAAGTGCTTATTATCCAGCTTTTTGAGGTCATTTTGCATTAAATGGACAATAGTTTGTGGCTCGAGGGTGCTAACGGTTAGCATCATATGAGCTTCTTCTGTCATAGATTTTCAGTTAAACTGGCTTTGATAATTCCCTCGTCAAAGGAGAATAAATTAAAGTATATAATACATTCATTTCCATCCATTTATCTGAATAATTAGCTTTATTAATTGCATGGGATTTGCTTTTCACACTTAACGTCACTTTTGTCTGTATTTTTCCGTTTCTGTAGGAAATTGGTCTATTTTACAATAAATTCAAATATTACACAGTGAAGTACAGGTCATCAATTACAACGTGTAAAACGCTGCACTGCAGATTAAGTAGGAGCCTTGTAATGCAAACACATTTCCCAGCAGATCCTCAGTTCCTCTGTGAGTTAGAGGAAACATAATAAATGCACACGGTTCTTTATATATCGTCCTCCTTTGCAATAGTTGTCCTTCTTTGGATAAACGTCCCGTCCTCTCTGACAGATCTGGAACACGTTAAACGTTCCTGCAGAATCAGGACGGCTCATTAAATATGCACGGCTTCATTTCCATGTTGAGAGGAGTCTGGTCTGATTTATGGAGCGAATATGTCCCACAGACGGATCAGGAATCAGAGGTTTGTTCAGGAATCTGCGGGCGATTCAGAGCTCATTTGCATATCAATTACCCTCCTGCTGTGAGGTATTCTGAACCTGAGATCATTAGACATCTGGGACTCTCTCACCGAGCGTTCTGATTAAATGAAAGTCTGCAGAGAAAACTGAAAAAGGTGACAAAGTGCACAACTTAAAGCTGCACTCATCTGATTTTTTTTAAATGAAAGCCCCTTAAAATGTCCTTTCAAAGCCTTAGAAAAATCTATATAATATTTAATATGTCAAACTACAAAGGAAACAAACGAAGTATCTCAGAAACACCTTTTATTATTATTATTATTTGGATTTTGTTTGTCCATTCTTCTTTACGAACGGTGTTCAAATGTAAGGCCCTGACACACCGAGCCGATTTCGGCCATCGATAGATGTCTGGCCGCCGATGAGCGTCCTGTCGCCCTACTCAGATTGGTGTGTCCCGCACCGTTGTGTCTTTTCAGCCGTGCCGACACCTTCAACATGTTGAATCGGGAGGCTGTCGGCAAAAGGCTGTCGGCTAAAGAAATCACTCTGATTGGCTGTTCAGCTTAGCGAATCAGTGCATGAGAAGCGAAACGGAAGTGAAGAAGGCACACACAGACGGCTATTATTTTTCATTTTCCAGTACCGCACTAAACATGTTTTCGATTATAAGTCGTAATGTGAAACAGTCTGTGATGGACGAGAGTGAAAATGGAACGCACGCTATTTGTTGTTTGTATATATCACGCAGTCTGTTCTTCTTCTCTCGGTGTATCACGCAGTCTGTCTTACGGTTGTTGCCTCTTTTGAATGACGAATACACACTACCGCCGCCTGCTGGTAAGGAGAGTTATTGCCACTCACGCATGCACAGTGCGTACGTGCTACTTGGCCATCGGCTGAAGTCTTTGCGGTGTGTTCCAGTGCGACTGTTGGCCAAGACGCAGGAGACGTGAGGCGACACAACAGTCGGGTCCGTCGGGACGTGTTCTTTGGTGTCAGCTTGGTGTGTCAGGGCCTTTAAAGCTTCTCAAAATGACCTGTTTTCTGTCTCACTTCCCTCATCATCCCGTATTACAGCTGTTTTCCACACCAAACAGATGTGTACAGTCTAATTATTTACGACAGTATAATTACACTCATACAAACATTGTTAAAGTCCTCGTTAACAAATGATTCACATAGTTTGATCTTCTTAATTAGACTTCTTAGCGGCTTGGTTTTACAGCCATATAGCATCCATCCTTGAAGTCTTCACTGTGGATGATAAATCCAGCAGAATAGATAAAAGGATATTTACTAGCATTCCCAAAAGAGTAATGGGCACGTCTATAAATTCAGACTTTCTGTAATCGTATCAAGATCCAAATTCCTCAGCGGGTTTTTCCACTGGATGCAGGTGTGCTTCGGAAATTCTGCTGGAGTTCGGAGAAAGAGAAGATGGATTTTGATTCTTCTAGTGAAATACGATAAAACAACACTAGGCCAAATGTGGCTTTAGTGCACGGTGTGCGACTGTTTATTGAAATGGGCAGTGTGTAGGACTGGAAAATCTCAACATGACTTTTCCCAACCACTGCTTCCATTCAATGATGAAAACACATGGGGTTCTGTTTTACGTCCTTGTCGTGGGGAGTAATGTAGGAGTGAAGCGGAGAAAGTGGAAATGAGGTGAGATGAAATATGGACAAAGGAAGCAAAATGAAACGATGACGAGTGAAGTGAAAAATAGGGAAAATGATGCGTGAATGTTGGCAGAAATGTCCACACGATTCATAATCACTCTTGATTGCAGCTGACCTTTACGATTTCCTGAAGTGCACATTGAGAGAGAGGACAATTAAAATGTCCCTATTTATAATGTCAGCCTTGTTAAGGAGTTACAGCGTCACAAACGTAGGAGCTTGGACTCACTTTTCTGCATGCATTGAATGTACACCTCTATTGTTCACAGGGAGTCTGGAATATCAGAGGTGCTTTTTATACAGGTGTTTATATTGATTGGACTCACTTTTCTGACATTTAGTGGCCCAGAGGGTGGAGGGATTGTTAGAGGATCTCCTTTAACGCTCAGCTCCACTTTGATCCCAAAATAATTGCGCTCTTCCTTCCACAGGACTGATCATCTGAACCTTGGCTTAACCTCTGAGAGTGATTGAAGTGTGTGTGTCCATGACTTCCTAATGATGAGTCAATTAGGAGTGGATCAATAAACAACTCATCACACACACTTTAAATTCAGCCGTTTAAATGCAGACTGGGAATTATCCGGCTTATTTTAATTAGCGCTGTCAATTGCAAGGCTTTTAAAAATCGTCTAAAATGTCAGAAATTATTCACCAGAGGCAACACGTTTAATTTAATTAAGTAAAGAGGCCCTATTCTGCTTTTTTGGGGGGTTTTCTTTTCCCCGTAGTGTGTTTTTTTATAGGCTTTTAGTGCATGTAAATGGTCTGCAGAGGTTAAAATCCCTGTGTTCCCCTTCAAAAAACCTCCCTTCCTGAACATAGTGACATCACTATGTAACACTCGCGCTCCTATTGGCTTGCGCTCCGACACATTGTACACGATAGGCTAAAGGACTGATATACACCTGAACATCAGCAGGAGAGGACTCTTTAAAGTAGAGACACTACATACTGATATATACCTGAACATCAGCAGGAGAGGACT